TATTATTGGATGAGTGCATAAGTTCGTGCCCGATTCCGCTGAATGCCGTTCGAATCGTTTGAGAGCCGCCCTCGCGGAAGAATTATATATCGTTGGAAAGGTGACAGTCCGAACTGTAAATCAAGCATAAAATAACTTCATTTTGATTTGAGTTGCTTAGTGAAAAGACGCATGGAAGATGGACAACGAAAAAGATCATATGCGCCATATTATGTTATACGAATTCCGCAAAGGAGAAACAGTAGGCGCTGCAACTAAAGATATTCGCGAAGTTTATTTGGACCGTGCTCCAGCACTCCGCACAGTAAAGAAATGGTTCGCGAAATTTCGTTCTGGAGATTTTAACCTCGAAGATCAACCTCGCAGTGGACGGCCTTCTGAGCTTGATGACGATGTTCTAAGGACTTTAGTTGCGAATAACTCACGTATTTCGCCGGAAGAGGATTGGGAAATCATGCCGCATCCCCCATATTCACCCGACATTGCACCTTCTGATTATCATTTGTTTCGATCGCTGCAGAACAATTTGAATGGAAAAAATTGTAAAAGTGTGGAAGACGTCAAAAACCACCTTGACACCTTTTTCAACGAGAAACCGCGCGATTTCTATGAATCAGGCATCCGTAAATTGGTTGAACGTTGGGAATGGATTGCCGGACATGATGGCGAATACATAATTGATTAATAAAAGTGCTTTCTTCAAAAAATTTCATTTTTAGTTTGCACTTGCACTCATCCAATATATATTCAATGCGAAAAAATAAAACAAAAAAGAAACATAAAGAAGAATGGCAACCTGGAGTGACTATTTGGTTCCGCAGAAAATATGTTGATGCCTCATGAAGGTGGTCTAATCGCTTAGCTCAATACCGCAAAGTTCTCTCAAGCAAGAGAAAAGAAATTTTATGAATAGGAAACTTCAATTAAATAGTAATTTCTTATTAAATTAAGTTTATTTTTCTATGTACACATTAATTCTTCTATTGTTTATTTTATGGGTTGAAAAATATTTACTTTAGAGGGCTGCGCTATCACTATCCCCTCATTCCTTTCTGAATACTACTTTATACGTATTAAACTCCCCAATTATCTTTTTTCTTATTTTGTGACACTTCAAAACATGCCCATGGTGCTATCATTACCAGGTTTGAACAAGAGATTCAAATTACTTTTTCCTTTGCCTTATTTGGGTATTATTTTTAAACCCAGTTGAAAAAAGATAATTTTGGAGTCATTTCCATCACTACATTTTTATTTTAATATAAAATCAATGATTCATGGAAATCGCTTTAATGGTGATTTTGCCATTCCCTAAATGACCTAAAACTTAGAGGGTATGTTCTGAGTATAACACAGACAACCCATAAGAAAGAACTTTCCGTGAAGTGCTCCTGGGACCAAACTATTTATTAACAGCATATTTTAACTTAGGTTTCCTTGATATCTGGAAAATAACACGCTTTTTGCTGACGATGCCTTCACCAAAGGTACGAATATGCTTTTGACTAATTGGCCCAAAAAGAAAATGTTAGCACCTCATGAATTCTCTATATCAATTGTAATTCACTTAGCTTAAAATTATTGTGTCCTACCAATCAAAAGCCGCGGGTTCAAATCCGGGTGCAAGCAATATCAAAAGTTATAGAGAATTAATTTAAATTGAATATTAAATTAAATTTTCTAATTCGCCCCTCGGCAGGGGCCGCCCCTTCCGAGTGTATTTCGGACATCAAATAAAGCTCCTCATAAAAACCATCAGCCGTTCGGAGGCGGCTTAGTTTAAACTGTGGGTCCCTCCATTTGTTGAAAAATCATCAAGACCAAAAACAAAAACCAAAAATTGGAGGAGGACCTCGGCGGTAATTCGCTTCAATGGCTAGAAAGAGCCTATTATTTTGCATAACAGTTGGTACTTTGGACCGAGTAGCCAATTATGAAGTTAAGTCCTCTCTCGTCAAATCAAAGCCAAAGTCTACAAGAATTTCATCATTGCGACCTACTATACCAGTATGGTGCAGAAGCATGGTCAATCTCGACACTTGATGAGTCGGCACTAGGAGTCTTCGAAAAAAAAGTTTTGCTAATTATTTATGTTTTTTGACAATGGCGAATATCGCAAACGTAGAGGAACGATAAGTTGTATGAGTTATAAAACGACACTGACATCTTCTTCTTCTTTTTTACTGGGGCTTTACAGTGAAGTGAAGTAACGAATGCTGCGATTCAACTTTAATCGTGTATGCCAATGAAGAAAAGTGGAAGAATTGTAAATGAAAAAAAGTTTTGTTGGACTTGGACTAACAAAAAAGGAAAAAGAAATTATTTAATGGTGAGATTAAAATTTATTAAGAGGCTGAAAATCATAATACAAAATTTAAGGGATTGTTTTCGGAAAACTTTCTTTTGTTCTCTCGCCTTTCGGCATACGAGTAAGTAATTACGCGTTGGATTTCAGTATTTCAACGCTGTCATTCTTATTGTGGTTAAATATACGAATGTATCGACAACTTCGAAGTTATGACTTTCAAAAACAGTGAAGTGAGAGCCGAGTGACGAATGCGAAGACCTTTTATTTGGTGATATTTCGTCCTGTACTCATTCAATAACAGACCCTTTCGCTTCACTTTGTTATCTAGCTCGGAGAAGACAAAACTACACAACGGTTGCTAGGGTCTAGATATGATAGATAGAATACGCTGGCAGTTATACGCTCTTGTAAAAGATTGCAGCCTGTCTATTCAGCTCTGTAGCTCTTATTAATTGTCTTCACCATCAAATTGAAGGAATCACAGCATTTAAAAATCATTCTGTCTGAAGCCTTGTTTGTTCTCGAACGTCTCAAAGAGGTCCTTCCCAAATTCTGCGATTCTATTTTTTTCCAACGTCACTTTGCACAGCCGTTAAAATTTTAAAGTTTAGAGACAGCTCCTTACTGTGCAGTTGAAATCTGCTTTAAAATCGATGAATAGGTTTTGGGTATCACGGTTTTTTTTTTAAGTTTGACATTTCTTAAATCTAATAAATGTTAGATTTCCCAGTTATAAGGCTACAGTGATGAGGTCCAATCAGTTTGTGGGCGCTGGACTTTAATCTACTACATAATATGCCAAATAAGAAGTAATTGGCGCAAACCCTGAAGGAACCCCTTGCACAATTAATAGTTGTGTGACCATATTCTGCAAACAAGCTGATGCATTCCCTTTGTTAATGGTTTTCCCTCAATAGTTCTGCTAGTAGGCCGTCAGTTCCAGCCGCTTGGTTGTTCTTTACGGGGTTACATAGGTCTTGAATCTTCAAAAAATTCATTTTATTGATAACTTTTTGTAAAAAATTACAAAGTGTCAGGAATATTTTTCCCAGTTCCCAGTCGATGGACATGAAACTGTAAAAATTAGACAGTTTTATAATCCGCCGTCTTTGTCATGGCTAGACCAAACGCGTTCTTAAAACCACTTTATCGAAAAGCGCTCGAGTTCAAATTTTCCACAATTATTTTGACCACGTTTTTGTAGCCCCTGATCGAAGGATTTATTTTATTCTTGATTTCAATTCATTTTACAGGCCTAATTGTATGAAAAAAGTTACGATTTTTAATTTTTTTTACTTTTTCTTCGTTCAGGGACAAGAAAAATTCACCCACTTTAATAAAGAATTTAGATTTTTGGTTTCAGATAAAAATTGAAAAAGTTATCATGACTACCGCGGTAGCACTTTCTTGTGGACGGTCTAGTTTACGGCACTGCCAACGCCTTAACTTAAATTATTTTTCATTCAAATTTTGATCAAATGTTGCCCGCATATTGTACTGTTATATGTAAAAAAAATAAATTGTATACTTTATTTAGTATCTAAAAAAAAAAATTAGAGAAAATAAGCTTCTTTGGTCTTCAAGACCTATGTAACCCCCTTAAGCGGGCTAGCGGGGTCTCACTATAAAAATTATTTTTTTTATAATCAACGATTGTGGTTTCGCGTTCACCATCTCCGATTGTTGCACTTCCACTGCCATTCAGCAGGCTGGAGAAGTGTTTCCTCCACACAGTAAGTACGTTCGGGAGATCGGTCACCAGAATATCTCTTGGGTTCCTCTATTTAGCGCATTTAACTTTTTGAATTATAAAAAATTATGGTTGCTAAGAATTAAAAATATGTCTCATTAGGGCTGATTTTTGCCACAACTAAAGCGCAGGAGTCTTAAAGAATAGTCAAAGCTTTGAATTATTAAAAATTGTATTAAATACGGTATTTATAATTGCATAAAAACCGCTAAAAATTATTTAAAAAAATATATATATAAATTTGTGAGGGACATTTGAGATTTGCGCTTAAATCGAGCATAAAATTGGTGTCAAATAATTCATTATGTACATACATGAGTGTATGTATATATATATACAATATATCTACTCTTATGTACAACATATATAAATAAATAATTGTTACGAATAACATAATAAAAAAATGTGAGGAATGCACTCATGTGTAAATACCGATTACCAAATAACCAACGGTGTTATGAAATTGTATAATAAAAATATGTACTCGTATGTATATAAAAATTAAATGGAGTCAATAAAGTAATAAAGACATACTTAATAAAATCTATGTCGTGATGCATTTTAATAACTGACTGCAATGTACCATTAATCCTTTGGTTTTTAAGTGTAGATGCAGTAAAGAAAGTCATTAAAAATACGACATGTTGCTTGCAACGGTATATTTAGCACGCATACGCATGCGCATGCGCACTCATAATTGGGACTAAAAAAAAACAGGTAGACATAGTTGGTGACAATTTTATAACGTCTGAGCGTCTAAATAATATACGATACGTGTGTATATACACGAGCGTGTCTGCCTTAGTATTACGTCACAAAAGATTTGATGATGCAATGGGAAATTTGTTACGCTGTTAGTTTATTTTAGCTTTAAGACCCAAGTAAATGCTGAAAATAATTCAAAATTAAAGATTTATTTTTATTTTTTTTTTCACCTTTCAGTTCTTCCACATATTGCTGCTGACATTACCTTTGCTCGCGTACAGCTATCCCGCACAGAGTGAAGAGAAATCCATTTCGCTGGAAGAGGTGGAGCTACCCGACAGCGATCATGCGGCGTCTGGTGGCGAGTCACAAATACAAAAACGCTCGGGCAGCTTTGATTATGTGGCACATTTGAAGTCCGGCCTACTCTCGAGCATTGGCCAAGCGTCTGCATCCATTGCTTCGGGCAGTTCAGGCGGCAGTAGTAGTAGCGGTGGTGATGGCTATAAGTCATACGAATCGGCACATGTATGTGTACTTGAAGCAAATAATAATTCATAATAGAAAATTAATTTTTTTATTTTTCTATTCTATTCTTCTTTGTTTTTCATAACAAAAAATGTGCAGGGTAACTCCGTTGACTACAACCCGTGGACGTTTAAGAAATCTGTATTGAACACCATCTTCCAGGCGGTCAAGGCAATCACTGGTGGTGTGACCGCACTCAAAGGTCAACTGATTAAGGGCAGCGGTTATGCACTGAGCGCTAGCGGTAATTTGGTTGCCTCATCTGGTGATAAGGTGACTGACGTTGGCAAGGCAATCATCAATTCAGCGCAAATTAATTCGCATTCGGGTTATGGTGGTGGCGGCGTTTCGGTGCATCCCTTCGCCAAATTTAGTTCACTGTCCGGTGCATCGTCGGGCGGCAGTAGCGGTGGTAGCGGTAACAAGCATTCAGGAGGACCGGTTGTGCATACGGAAAGTGAGTATTGCCTGTTTATTTACACTTTTATTATTATTATTTCTCATTTGGAGTATTTTATATATGTACTTGAATATGTAATCGTTTCCTTTCACCGTGTTGCGTCCCTTTCAACAACCAGTTTTGGAAGCTCTTATAAGTGGTTCCAAATAATATTGGATGGACTACTGAAAGGCGGCTCTTCATCTATCGCATTCAGATCTCAAACTATCAAATACTCGACCAAGTCATGGTTCTTCAGCTAAATTAGTATACTTAGTCTCTCTCTAAAGCTCAGTGGCATTGGGACACTCAATTATATAAGAGGCCCGCAGCCCAATTTGGTTCCTTGAAATAAATTCGCTACCATCGGCTAGATATAGAGTTGTGTGTAGAGTAATCTTTAAGCCAGAATCTAGACCTGTACTAGTGGTCTATAACGCAAAACCAAGTTGGACGCTCCTGAAGGTAGAGCCAAGTCGACCACATTTTAGTAATTGTTGTATAGTTTGAGTCCTAGACTACTGCTGTGAGTAAGCAAACTAGCTTTAATTATGCTTTCGAAGACAATTTTGACGCGCTCACCGCTCATGCGACTGTAGCCGAATCAACAATAACGCGCCATGCATTTCTTCTATTCGCCCTCGGGCGCCAGTTGGAAATACCAACTAAGACCAGGTCACTCTCCCTCTGATTCTTTCAAACGGAGTGGAGGTCTTCTTCTTGCTCTGTTCCCACCGGCGGGTATTGCATCGAATAAATTGTAAGCTGGAGCGATTTCATCCATTCGTACGACATAACGCGGCCAGCATAGCCGTAGTCTCTTCATTCACTGTGCTCTTTTAATGTCATCGACTAACTTATACAGCTCGTATTTCAAACTTTTCTCTCGAACACTCTTATAAATATGAGCGACTTGCAAAGTTTATACATTGATATTAATTACATCGGCATATAGTTATACTCTCTTGTAAAAGATTGTACCTTGTCTGTCTAACGGTAATTTATATTATTTTCTTCAGCATGAAATTGAGAAAATCGAACCATAAAAAGTCGCTCTATCTCTGAAATCTGAGAAGTCCTACTCATTTCTAATTGCTGGTGTCAGCTTACAGCCACAGCACAATACACTCGACAGAGCCTCATGTGCAGGCTAAACCCATGATGATTGACACAGACAGTCGCTTTTCGAACCAATTTACAGTCGGGTAATGGCACGTTTTATCCATATGCCAAATATGTTCTAGACAGGGGTCAGCAGATTTCCACACTGATTCCTATATAAGTATGCCCCACTCATGTAACCTTCTGTTAGTCGCCGCATATTTTCATAGAATTTTCGAGCATTACCCTCATTGGCCAGCTCCGCAAGCTCTTGATCATTACGCATTTCAGCCTTTTTAGATTTTGTCTGCACATGCATCTTTCTTCTCTCTTCAGCTCATAATATCTATTCGGTTTTTGGCGAGACGTTCAGTCACCAGAATGAATGCGATTGACTCTCAAACATTTTCGAGGGTTCGTAATCACAAGGGGGTCTTCAATTCGAGGGTTTTTGCGTATATGATTCATGTGTTGGCTTTAGGTTCTTCGTACAATTTCAGGCTAATTCTCAAGCTCACTGAAGTTCGCCACCAAACAGATGTTGGTTACCCAGAGGATACTTGGTGTAAGAAGGAAGTGATGAGCTGACGGAATTCGGTTTTAAGATAAAAATAAAAGTCTGAATGCTTAACCAGCAAGGGATAATCTGCACATCACGGAGGACTCATGTTTTTTCCCTAGCAGGTCGGATCATTACATTGACTTTCGATAATTATTTATCCATTTTCACCTGACGTTTGCCGTGCCTTTTGGAAAGGACAAATTTTACTAAGATAACAGTCAGCCAAAGCAAAGCGATGCGCGGAAATTTTTTTAAGCGCAAGGCAATGATCTATATTTTTCAATACTGACGGCACATTACCGTTTCAGTGAGGATTGAGATCTTAGCACACTCCAACGTATAACCCGTGCCGAAATTAAAAGCTAAATTATTAGTTCTCTCACTGGAATTCTAACAAAATTTCATATGTGATAATTTATTTTCTAACTGCGAATCCCCTCAAACTAAACGCATATGCACCACAGTGTGTTAGAAAACTCTATCTCCAACCGAAACGTAGTAACGATAGATGACATTCCAACGAAATGGAGCCAAAGTATAACTCAGCGAAGCTCATTTGGGCAATAAATCAGCGCGACCATCACCAAATGTGAAGAAAAAACCGAAGGAAAACAGAGATTTATGAAATTTAAGTACACAAACAAAAAACCAAAAACAAAAGTTTAAAACCAAAAGAAAAGAAATACCAAAATGGGGCATAACCAACAACTGAGCCATCAGCACCGGCCACACTTGCCACATGATGAACTATGCCTTTCGGCAGCTATTCCAGCTGACCGCCCACCGTAAGCGATCTGAAATTCGTTGTCTGCCGCCACACAAACTCATACTACTTTGCCGGAGGCTATAGCTCTGCATGGCTGCGTTCAAAAATTAAGTTATAAATAAATCTATTTTGTTATTGCGACACATTTCTCATTTTTTTTCTGTATGACTTCACTTAATTTTTTTGACTTTGCACATTTTTTTTATGACATCAATTTTTTTTCAAGCGCCATTACAGCTGCAGTGCGCTGCAACGAACCAGATCCAAATAAACTGCATACTGTTCGTTGTGGTACATTGACCTATACGTACTTCTACATACGTGTATGTATGAATGTAGACGAGTATCTTTGGAGCAGAGTTGCTACCAAATGTGAACACAACAGGGCCACAACGCGCAGACGAACAAAACGCTCGCTTGGTTGGCTACGCAAGAAAATTTTTGTCAGGCGTTGTTATTGTTAGTATCTTTTATTTACTCTTCATCTGCTACAGCTAACTGCCTTTATGTGGCTAAACTTTTTTTATTGAATTCCTTCCGACAACTTTCATTTTCATGGCGACCGCTGCTGGTTTTGTAAGTTGGCATGCACTTAAAGTACTCATGTATGTACATATGTATGTACATATCCTCTTATGTGTGAAATAGTTAACGCATAGCATTTATATGTATATAGTATATATTTTTTAAGTACATATATACAATTGAAACCAGAGCAACAAGTTTCCTAATTGGTTTGCACGCCAAAGCTACATGGCCAAAGAGCCTCTTAAGCGCTGCTGAGCAACTAACTGGGTCCATTTGTGGTTGCGCATTTGTTTGTGGCGGCATCATAAGGATTTCAAGCACACAAAAACATTTAATTAAACAAATTTATATATTTACATTTGTTTACCAGCACCGGCATGTCATTAAATGTTACCGAGCGGCTTATTTTATCAGTTGTAAATAATTAAATTTCACAAAAATTTAACACGACTGCGGTATAACATAATTAGTTGCACTGTATTATTTAAATTATTCGATGAAATAATTTTTCCGCTCATAAAATGCGTATAATATATTTATTTTTAAATTCATATTATACATACATACTCGTTTGTACGTCGATAAATTCTTTCGGTTAAAATTTACGTCAATCACTTTCTGTTTATTATTAGATTTATATATATATTTAATAATGCATATAAGAATATATGTGTCACCTACATCTACCCGCGGGTAAAAATACTTGTTGGTAACTAGAATCCAACTAGTTTGCATCTTTACTTTAACTAGTTCCCCTTCCATCTATCTGCCACATAAGAAACTGGTATATTTTACAAAGCGATGTCTTACGAACTGTCAATTTTTCGACGAAGCATCAGCTACATACTAGTTATATACCAGTTCATTTAGGCATATTTAGTTTATATTCCAAAAAAATTAAAAATTATAATGAGATAAAAACAAAAATGAGTTTGCCATCAGCGAGATTCGAACCGTGAACCCCACGCACCGCTATTATTACCTGTAATCACTAAAATAAAACAATATAAAATTTTTTTATTTAATCTTAAATTTAAAAAAAATCAAAAATATATAAAATAAAAGAAAAGAAAATCAAAGAAAATGAAATTTAATAATATAAAATAAAAAAAATCAAATCAAATCATGTCAGATAAAATAAAACATTATAAACTAAAATAAAATAGAATGAAATATAATAATATAAATTAAAAAAGGAAACCAAACACAATAACATAAAAAAAGAATAAAATAAAATAAAAAATATGATAAAATAAAATAAAACTATAAAAAAAGTTATATTCAATTTAATTAAATTAAATACTTTAATCGAAAAAAAGACTAAAAAGAAATAAAAATAAAATAAAATAAAATTAATTTAAATTAAACAATAATAATATAAATCAAAATAGAAAAAAATTATATAAAATAAAACAAAATGAAGTAATATATAAAATAAAGTAAAATTTTATATAAATTCCATATTAAAAAATTTAAATTCAAATAAACTAAAATAGGACAAAATAAAATAAAATTAAAAAAAATTAAATAAAAAATAAAGTAATTAATAGAATAAAATAAAATTTAACTAAATAAAACAAAACATTAAATAAGAAAAAATTAAAATGGAATAAAATAAAATATAATAAAATAACATTAAAAAAATTAAAACTAAAATAAAGTGAAATAACTAAAATATATTTAATTAAAATGAAATAAAAAATTAAATCAAATCACGTCAGTTAAAATAAAACATTTTAAACTAAAATAAAGTAGAATTAAATATAATACAATGAAATAAAAAAGTGAACAAACCACAATAAAGTAAATTAAAATAAAAAAACAGAATACAATAAAAAATAAGATAATATTATACAAAATTATAAAATAAATTATAAATTATATTAAATAAAATTAAATTAAATAATATAAATCGAAATAAAATAAAACCAAAAAAATAAAAATAGAATTAAATAAAACAAAATAAAATATATAATAAAGTAAATTAAAGCTAAATAAAAATTAAATTAAATTAAATTAAACATAAAATAGTATTAAATAAAAAATGAAATAAAATAAAATAAAAAATAAAATTAAAAAAATTATTTTAAAAAAATTTCCTTTTCACCGAAAAAATTTAAACTTCCTGTAGTAAGACTCAAACCATGAGCTCGCGCCACGGTGACAGCAACTCACCACTGGTATTTGAACTTCAAAATACTAGTGTTTAACTAGAACTCTCGCATACCTTCTCCCGGCAAGGTACCTATGTAAATGCATGTCTATTGACAAAGGATAGTTGAACATACAAAAAATATTTTATGTAATATTTGCTTTCCATTTATTAAGTGATATAGTAAACAATATTTTACGTGATATTTGCCAAAAAGGAAGCCAACGAAGATCCATGATGGAATGGTGTCAACTATTCGTAAATGTCTCGAATATTCGAGTATAAAATTTCAAATGTACTGCTACACACGCTTTACATCTTTATATAAATAAATACATTTTTTCATTATTTCAATTTAAAAAAAATTTCGCTGAGTAGTCCGCAAGGACAGAGTGTTTATCAGTGTGTCCTACCTTCATATATTGTGATATCCCCTTTGAAGGGAATTTCAACACCTCAGAGTATTTTCTAAAATCTTCTCAGGGAAATTCATCAGCCATTTTGAAATAAACTGTAGTTATATTAGACGAACATCAAGGTACACAGCAAAAAAGAGAGGACGAGCTTGGCCGAAAACCGCAACAGGGGATTTCTGTACTTAAATTAAATTACATACTTTGATCTCTACAAATGTTACTACCAAAATTCGATCAACATTATTGGGAGACAAATTCAAAACTTCGCTTCTCTTCAGTTTTGTCGCTCGTAATATTTTTTTTTTTTTTTTTTGGCATTACTTAAGAGATGTCTTAATGGCGCGGAGCCTATGGCTTTGTTCAGCAGCACTATGCGCTTCGGAAGGATATAAAACTCTGACAGAGCGGCATAACGGTAACTTCTTTTCGCTGACAACAGCGCGTTATTCCATTTTCATTTTAATCGCTCGATGACAGCTGGACACACTAAGCGAATCTAAGTTCTTCCTCAACTGATCTATTTAATGGAGATCATTATCTTCCTCTGCAACCACTGGCGAACACTTTGTCGAAAACTTTCCAAGCTTGAGTATTCATATATATCCGGACCACATGACCTAACCAACGTAGCAGCAATCTCTTAATTCGCTGGACTATATCAATGTTCTGTTATATCTTTATTAGCATCGTTCCATTGTTCCATCGTCTGCGGTATGCGCCATTTCCAATTCGCAAATGACCCTAAGCCGCTACGTGAGTAGGTTTAGATTACGTTTAGGTTTTAGGCCACATATTTGTAGCGAGCCGTTTACCTCAAAACTGGCGTCCGCTCGCAGCTCCGCCCCTGGTGAAAAGACGATACAAAAAGACTCTAGTGAACGCTCAAACCACATATAGCTAGAGTGACTCAACTAAAGATCTTCCTCTTACCTTAAGTTAGAAAATTATTTGACTATATTCCGCCAAAATCGAATCGAATCGAATTTGCCATTAGGTGGCGCAAATAATGTGTTTTTAACAAAAAATCATATAATATTTGGAAAGATTTAATTTTCCAGATTTCTCTATGTCACACCAAACCAGATAAGAATTTACAGTACAACTGAAACAACTTAAAGAAGATATTTTTCCCCTCCATTTAATTGTAGTGTTAAGGGGCTCAACCAGTGTGACAGCCAAAAAATGTGACTTTTGGAATTCTTTTTTGAAATAATTTTTCATTGAATATTGAATATTCCCCTTCTGCTATCACCCTCTCCAACTTCAGGTTACCTGAAATGAAAATTGACAAAAAATGGGTTAATGTTATCTACTTTATGATGTTCTATGGTATTTAAATAACAAAAGGCATAGCCTTGAAAAATATTAAAAATGTGGCTTAAAATATATGACGGTATTTTCCATGCCAAATTTACAATTTCAATATTATCAAAATATCCGAGTATCACCTTATACCTGAAATAATGCTGAATACGATAAAAAACAGGTTTAAAGTCGAATGGCTAATCAGATTTTGAGTTACAACCACAGCGAGTTTCGAAACCACTTTTTTAGGAAAAACGCATTTGAAAAAAAAACTTATATTAGTGATCTCACGCGTTTTAGGATTACTTCAAAACTTTTTCAATTTCACATCTGTAGCCGAAGTATGTTTTTTCGAAGATATATGCTATCGAAGAATGTCAAACAAAATCGATATTTTGAAAGCGTCCCATGCTTGAGCCGCTTTAGCGAGCAAGGCGTATACTTACTTTGGTTGTGGCAAAACTGATTGCGAAATTTTTAATCTAAAATTAATAAAAACAAGACTTAATGTGGCTCTGGTATTGCATATATTTTAATTAGTTTATTAAATAATTTTTTTAATAAATCTTGTAAAAGAGTTAATGTCACAGCGCATGGTTTTTGTATTTACATTTTTCTTTTCTCCAATAAAAATTTATTTGTATTTGTAAAAAAACTTACTATCTCACGCTACAATCAGATAAAATTACTTAAATAAATGATTTCAAAAAAAAGAAAAAAAAAAACAAGTAACGGATGTTAGGGCATTTAGAAGCGGACTGACGACATGTGCAACTTATAATTGCTCACAATGTGCACAGCCTAATGATGAAAAACTTTATGGAACTGATAACGAAGTTGCCGTCATTAGGTGCCACTGAAATCCAAGCGCTATTAACTAGATTCGCAATTTGCATTTAACACTACATTTGTATGATTAAAAAACAAATGCAAAAAATGGTTTTATGAAGGTTGCATAATCAGTGCACACACTGTGCGACGCATAACTAAAAAAACCTAGTCAATGCACTGATGGGAATATTGTAGAAAAGCTATTTTGTAAACATTTTTATTTTCACTTTATGTTATTAACTGACAACTTAATAGCATATTTTCCATATTACATATTACTCATATTGCATTTTCCATTTTGCATATTATAATTATCATCTTCCACTCTTTCAGCCATTACTACATATGAAATTCCACCTGGTCATAGCAACTACGGTCCACCCTCAAAGCCACCAACCTATAGCTCAGCCACGCATCAATACTTACCGCCAGCGACGGGCGGTTACACAGGCGGTGGGGCGCCATTTAGCAGTGGACATGCGGCATTTGAGGCACCCGCCAGCAATTACCTGCCAACCGGCTATTCCAATGATGGTGCGTAGTAGAAAAATTAAATAAAATAAAATTAAATAATAAATAAATATATAAAAGTAAAAGGAATGTACATATGTACATACATATGTGTACAAATATATTGAAAATATTATTAAAGTAATGTGATGTAAACAAGATTTGATGCAACAGTCTGTCGCACATTATGTAGTGTGGTGGTGCAACAACAAATCTTGTTTTCATTTAAATACTAGTATGTTAATATAAGCATACCATATAACTGTATAAGTGTATAGCTGTATAATTGTATGTGTATGAATACTGGTGTTGGTGGTTTAAGTGGGCAATGGGATTTTCCAGCAAAGCGGAAATTTTCATCATCAAATATCAAACTACTAACTCACTATTAATTTTATTTATATATACCTATATATATTATATTTTAATTTTTATTTTATCATTTTTCTGCTCTTCAACGAGCTTTGCATTGCAGTAAAAAATTTAAAAAATTAAATAAAATAAAAAGTGAAATAAAAAATAAATGCAAATATTAATCATACGCCCCGGTGCAACCAATGCTTCAAAAAGCCTCTTGTATGTAGCAACGCCTTTATAACTCATTTTTTTTTTTTTAAATTTGTGCAAAACTTGTCAAGCGTATGTATGTGAATTTCATGGTTTGCATAAAATTAAATATTAATTCCGATACGCATACACACACACACACATGCATATTTGCCAAGTTGATTGACACTTCCGTGTGGAAGGAAGTGATTTTCGGCTATGATCACCGGTCATTTAAACAACCGGTCATTGTGCAGTCATTGCATTTTATGGATAGAGTAAATGTGCATACGTACATATAAATTTACGTTAACATTTACATATACTATAAATAAATCTTCTTTTTTGGGGGAAAAAATAATAAAAAAAACTTTATCGTCTTCATTGCATATTAGTTCAACACAAATTACATTTTATTATTGCCTTTTTATTTATGACGCCCACTTTGTGCTCATTGCAGTAATTACTGCTTTAAAATTTAAAAATTAATGCCGGTGAAATAAAATGTAAATAAAAAGGCAAGTAAATGCCTATTAAAATACTTATAAAATAATTGGTCGTAATGACTATTGAAAAGTGAAAGCATGCAATTTAATTTTCCATTGCGGCAAGTGTATTTAAATTACTTTTGAAAATTTTCAAATAACTCGATTTAATTTAATTTTTTTTTATGAATTCTTTTCATAGCATTGCTTTAAACGATAAAAATTACCACTTCTTTCAATTTTAAAGTACAAAATTAGTTAAAAAAAGTTAACTTTCACCACTTTGTTTTAGTTCATTTTTAATAATAAATTAATAAATAATTTTCATGTTAATAATAGTCTCAAGTTTAAGAATATCTGGAATGTTAAATTATTATTGAATTTAAACACAAATAAAAAGGATAAAATATATAATTTAAAAATTGTCTGGTCGAAGATAATGTAATTTTTACGATTATTTATTTATTTACAATATAAAAAAATAATTATGCACTAACTATCTTACTTATGAGCTAAAGCATTGGCGGCTATTTTTCCGATTTATTGTTATATATATTTTACACTATGAGTCCTTAAAATTTATTAGTTAACATTTTTTTTGTCTTTCGCGACAGCAAGGCATATTATCCCAACTCAATAACGTATTTTGGATAACAACTGTCTCAAAAAGCGCCCAAATCTTGAAATTTTTAAAATCAAATATAATATTAGGTCAAGTAAAAAGTGGTACATTATTTTTGCATAAGATGGCTTTAGTGATAGTGTGATTGGATTACGCTTTATGGTGGTAGAAAGATAATATTTTATACAAAAATACCAAAAATAGAAGTCTTGATCACTAAGTCTGGTCTTCATGCGAGCATTGCTTTAATTTCCCATTACCTAAACATTGCACACACAACAATTTATAGCCACTTGACTGATTACATACAGATGAATGAATCGCTCCTGAATCATAATAAAATCGACTCGTATCTGAAGGGGAAGGTGGCTGGTGTTGAAATGTGAATAATTTACACTAACAACGTCAAATGAAAACGGTCGTAGTCGAAGAATAGTGAGCTGGCACAAAACGCCCTAAAAGTCATAATTGATGGCAAGGAAGGGTTTGTTGTATGCTTGGTGGAATTAACAAAAAATTATACACTATGAGTTATCCCTCTATGGCCAAGCTCTTATCTCGGACCTATACTGTCAGCAGTTACGTCGTGGGAGAGGGAAACAATCGGCAAGAGGCTTCCGGATTTGAACAACAGGAGGGATATTCTGCTTTATTACGACAACGTCAGACCACACACATCGATAAGGACGCGCCATAAGCTCCGGAATCTTCTTTGGGAGGTTCTCATAGATGCAGCAAAATATACCGGACCTCGCAAGAAGTGGTTACCATCATTTGCTTGAATTTTTCATTTTTTTTTTTTGGTTCGTACTGCCTGAACTTTTCTTATCTGAAACGCTTAGTGTGATTCAAGTAATTTTTATAAGAATTGCTCATCTTCGCTTGTTGATAAAACATCTTTGTTGTTTGTTCTTGCTTGTCTACTATACCATATTGCTTTCTGCTGATCGAGCTCTTTCAAATAACTCACAAACAGATTTCAACTATCTACATATATTTCATTATCACTCTTAGGGCCATTTTTTCGAGCTGCCTATTAATGTGAGGATCACGAAACCAGCAGTTAAATTTAACTCCCATTTTCCCCACCTCTTGTTAAATATTCATTTGATATTAAATAAAAGGCGGTAGTGATTTGAGGAGGAAGAAAGGAAAAACGCAAATAAGTTGTTCTAAATATAATTTTTCAAATATTCTAATATTTTTGGCAATATGGCGCTCAGAGGCAAAAGAAAATAAGTAAATTTGTAAATCAACTGTTTTCTGATGTCGCTGTTGAAAAAATAAGTTGTAACCGCTGAAGCGATTTATGGCCGAATCGGACCTAAATTTCAAACCAAACCACAGTCAAACGATTTTCATTTCAGAAGTACGCTCGGACGGCTTGACATTCAATACGAGGACGAGCGCGATTCTGAATGTTTAGCCGAACCAAGACTCGAATCCTCAATTTTAGAATAGCAGTACAACCACTCGGCTATTGCGGTCGAATATTACTTATTAGAGACAATTATTTTTAGGTAGACAGAGACCGATCTATTATGATCGAGAGACTCTGTTTTTGGTTTTAAATTTCTTATTGTTAAATATTAATCGTGTTAAAGAATCCCTTATCCCTTAAAAAAATTAGTTTTAAAAAGAAAAAAGACTTTTAAGAGTCAATTTCTGCATGTTAATCTAAATGATAAGTTGCCAAACAAATTAAATTTGAAGTGAATTGAACCGTTACTAATATTATCTCACCTGAATCGGTCCCCCAGATTATCTTAATAAAGTTGAATTATATTGCGGTCCAGCCGTTATCAATTCAGGAAAAACAAAAAATTTTTTTCACTATAAGGTTTTCGCATTGAGAGAGATCGCATATGCACTAAAAATCGACCACGTGTCTCGTTCTGAGAGTAATTTTTTCTCTCACTTGGATACCACACATCTTTATTGCGCATAATTCATTGAAATGACAATTGTCATACCGCACGCTATGGAATCGCTCGGCTTTTACGCACGTAAATACAAAGAAAATGATTATGTATATGACCGGTCGTGCCTTGAATAGACCAAGCCAATCACATATCAGCTCGGTGACACTTGAGGCTTTCGAAAATTTTTTTAAATTAATTAAAACTAAGGAAAGGATTTTTTTCGAATAGTTTGTTCCTAGATACTATTCCTGGAAACAAAAGTAATGTTCCTGCCAAACTAAGCAAAATTCTAACTATTTAAGTATTAAATTTAAAATAATCAAACCAAAAATTCTAATTTGTCGAAAAGATCAGTCCCAGGTCCTTTTCCCGTGAAAAACAGATCTTGTGTTATTCTCAGACCTACTGAATAAGCATATAAAATTTCATTAAAACCGGTCAAGCCGTTTCGAAGGAGTATCGTGTCTAACACCGTGACACGAGAATTTCATGTATTAGATATTTATTTATATATACATGTATATGTATACATATTTATATTTATATATATATATATTAAAAGCCTTTAGAAAGCTGTCGAAAGGTTCTGAAGGCTTTCAGTACTAACTTATGTGATGGGTATTGATTACTAATATATAGCGGTATCTGCAATTTTATCTGTTGGATCTAATGTTTGTATACTTTGTTATAAATATCTATATTTTTTGCTTGTTAAGCTTTTGCTCTCATTTTCTTATTTGCACGGAATTCACGTAATGTCAAGGACTTTTTAATATTTTTATTTCGACAATTCCATAAAATTAGGTAAAAGTAGATTTTCTTTTCAATTTAATACTAATAATAACTGAGTATATTCTGCAGTATAAGACACGCAATTTTTTTTTGTAATAATTTAATTAAACTATGAAAATAAGTACAAATGTATATAAATTATTCTACTACCAATGTAATATATGTGTATAATATTGAAGTACTCTTCGCCTGAGAGGTCTTAACTCTGCGTTGTTGTCAGAAAAAGGACACTTAATTAATGGCTTCCATTTCATCCAGTTATATTTTGTTTTTTTGAAAAAAAAAAATACTGAAGTTTAATGCAAAAAAAAAACGAATATAAAAATTTCTTGGAATACAAATATGTTACTTTTATTCATATTCAATACTGATATCTAGTTGGCATTTAGTTCAATTAGTTGCTTTCAATGTTAAATTTTGTTTCGAAAAATAATTTCTTAGAATAATCGTCAGTCTGAAAATGAATCTACAGTTACAGTAATTCCCAGAATCATCAAGTAATACGTTTCTTCGTATTTTTCCACTTCACTCTGGTTGGTTAGTTGGTTAAAAGGGACGGTGAAAGCCTTATTATGCTCCCATTCTAATGGCAACTATGCATTTGTTAACTGTTCACTCGATTTGTTGATGTCGAAGAATTTTTATAGTTTCTTCCACACATGCAGATTTCACGTCCCAATCGTTTTAAAGATTTACATGGCGCGTTCCAAAGTAAAATTGCCTTTTTGAATCTAACGTCCTCTAGTGGCGCCATCTATATGTCGACTAGTGCGTTAGAATCTGCTATCGACTTCCAGTAAAAATTTCATTGCATTTTATCTTTTGGAAGTGATAATGCGCCGATTGTGGCCGATTATTTGACCAAAAATCACATTTTAACAATCAACCACCGTTATGCAAACGTGGAGGCCATTCAAAAGGCTTGCACCGGAATACTGGCGGCCATATCGGGCAACAAGCTAAAGCACTCGTTCGACAATTTGGTCCGTGCAAAAAGCAGTATTAAAGCAGAAGAGAAGAGACTATTTTAATAAAAATCATTGATTTTGCCGATAAAGCCATTTGTTCTGTCTTTTTTTTTTAAAGTCCTATTTACTTTGGAACGAGACTTGTAGTTCACCTGCAAAAATGCTAAGTTCCTTTTTGCTGAGCGCTAGTAAGAGTTTGGTTTGTCTGCAACGAACGCTGTCTCACAGTATGTTAGTGATAAGCCCTAGATTGGAGTTTCACTTCGACTTTAAGTCTTGCACAAGGTTTCACTGTTTTACAGATCTCTTGCACCTTTTCATTACCTCCTTCATACGTTTGGCGTGGGGCCCAAATGATACTCACTGTGTAAACTCTTGATAGTGCAATCCTTGCCTCTTTGCATGTTCTCACACACTTAGACTTTGTGCTGACACATTCCGTTACCTTTATTGCCGGTTTGCTGTCTACAGGAAATTTGTTGGATTCCTCTGTTAAAGCGGTGACTTATTTGGCGCCCACAATCTACCTTGGCTATATGAGCGGTTGCAAAAGAACCTCGCTCCTGTACCTACGACGCATTAAGACTAATCAGAATAGATGAGAATATCTTCAGTACTACCGAGGATCTTGTCTGCAGCACATTTTTGTCCGCTAGGTAAGGAGTAGGAGGCTTGCATCTGGCAGAAGGTTTCCTTTTCACGAACGCACTGTTTGTTTAGTCCTAACTTTATAATAACTTTATGTATGCCACTGAATTCTTCACTGTTGGGGGGGGGGGGGGGGTATGTGCCTAACTATCTAGGATATTTAGTCAGTTAGGTGTAGTAATAGTATATTAATTAGCCTGATTTTCAGATTGACTTGTTGAGTTTTCATTTCGCCTGCTGTACTTAGTAAACAGATGCATTGCACCCGTTATAAAGATTTAGTGTGGGATCTCTTCTTTAGTGTTGGTAAACATACAAAAGATCCATACCTTATTTTTTTATAACGACCCTTGTGTAAATCCAGCGCACAATTTGGGGTTGCAGAACCCATTTTGGTGTAATAACCCTGGCGCAGGACTTCCAAATACGGAGGGCTAAGTTTTGTATAAAAACCTACTCCCAGATACTTGACAAAATTTGGGAGACTTCGCGCAATCGTTGCAGCCTTTTCAGGAGTTAATGCAACTGTTTCGGCTAAGTCTGCTCATAACATAAATAACTTTCTAATTGACACAGACTTGAGGCAGACTGTGGGTTCCCACTATTTATTCCAATCGTCGGCCATGCTTTCATTCGACCATATTTTGCAAAGAATCTTATGCATGCAGCTCATCAGTGCTTCACCGCCGCAATTTTATAGCTCGGGCGGCGATCCATTGGCCCCCGGTGTTTTTTTTCTATGTTTTTCAGGTGGGCGATTTCTATTCAAAGTGCATCATAGTCGGGCATGAAATAATTATTTTATCATCGTCGATTGGGAAATTGGGTTCGCCATCTCTTGGTGTTCCGCTTTCACTGCCTGATGCAGGCTGGAGAAGTGTTCCCTCACTGGATTCGATATACCCTAGATATCAGCCACCACTAGACTTCTCTGGGTTCGGTCTTGAAACCACTTCATTTCAATTAATATTGCCACATGCGTCTTGCTTCCTCTTCAAATCTTGGTTTTTATATCCCACCGCGTGTGTTGTGGTCGAACACAAAGTGCGAGATGTTTTCTCTCCACTTCGGCGCGGTAATCCTTATACTACCTTATACTACCAGTTAGTTAGTTGAGAATATTTATTACTACTCAAAAGAACATTCTTTGGCACTGATTTTTTGAAGCTTATCTCTTCCAAATGTTGACCGCGGCTTTGTCTCAGATGGTCCATCCGTTGAGTCCACTTTTCGATGACTCGCTTCAGCATTTCAACTGGTAACTGACGAATGATACGCGTGATGTTTTGCTCCACGACCTGAATCGAAGCGGAATTGTACGCATAGATTTTAGACTTTACATATACACACAGACAAAAAAATCTTGGTGGCCAATCGACCGGTCCAAAACGTGAAACTTTCCGCACATCGAAGTATTCACTCTATAAGTCCATTGATTGATGCGTTGTCTGGGAAGTAGCGTCGTCTTGTCACAACCAAATGTCGCCGAGATCACGAGATTCAATTTAAAGCTTTAAATAGTCGGTTAATATGGCACTATATTGGTCGCTATTGAAGGTTACGTTCTCACCGGCATCATTTTTGAAGAAATTTGGAACGATGATTCCATCGACCCACAAACCATTCTTCTTCTTTTCTGTGTGAAATAACAGCTCTTGCAGCTCTTCAGGTTGCTTTTCGTCATAAATGTGACAATTTTGATTGTTTACGTACCCATTGAGCTAGAAATTTATCTCAACACTAAACAAAGTTTGTCTCGAGAAAGTCCGATGTTCTTGGAACTTTTCAAGAGTCCACAGAACGAAGTCGCTTGGAAAGGTCGGGGGGCTTCAGTTCTTGCACAAGCTGTTTTTCATACGCTATAGATTTAAGACCTCAAAGTAAAATGTGGCATATCATTCTAAACATCAGTCCGAGTTACTGCAAATGGCGCTAAATCGATGCTCCACGGCCTTCTTGTATACTCTCAGCTAGGTCTGTTATATTATCTTCACTGCGTGCTGGGCGGAGTTTATTGGGTCGAATATTGACTGCTTCTCTCAAGCTGGGTGGGATGGTGTTGCGAATAGTACGCTTAGTAGGCCGATTATGCTGACCATAAGTTGAGCGAAGCGCGCCATATACAATCTTTGCAGAAAGATAAAATAGAACGATTTGTAAAACTTCTTCTCTCTGTAAGAGAACTCATGCGTGATCTGTCATAAAAAAGCTATTGCAAAAAGTAACTCTACTTGGATCACCCGTTAAATTTTACGAGTACGCCAAGTTTATACAAATTATTTGAGTTTTGAAAAATTCAATGGACTGAATTATGAAAAAAAAAATTTCCTTAAGTAAAAGAAAAAATTATTAATTAAAATAAATTTTTTAAATATGTCACAATTGTATTTAAGCCCTAAAACTGTATTTTTTAAGTTTTGTAAATATAATTAATTTTATTAATATTTTTATTTAAAATCTTAATTAACTCGACTTTCTCATGTCCCTATGTGATTTAACCACGTTCTAAGGAAATCATCAATTGTGAATATAATATGTAAAATTGTATATTATGTGTTACCATCAAGCCTACCATAGCATGACAGCAAACTTGTACAGAGAGCTCATTTTTGTAAATAAAACTCGACCTTACTTTTGCGACCAAACAGAAGAAACTAAATTTCAACACAAACACACATGCATACACGTGTACAAAACCAACACAACACTCTTCATTACAGTTTATGTATATACACATCTACATATGTACATATATATTTAACACTAGCCACATAATGTACTTAACATTCTCTCATTGTACGAAGCTAACAAAAAAAGCATTCGTTTCACAAACCATTGCATTGTACATACACACGCATACATATAAGTTTTACAAAACATAAAAACAAACAAACATACATTTGAATATGAATTTAATAACTTTTGCATCATTTTCCATATCATCACACAAACAAACGACCACAACCACGCCACCACTGTGTCATTGTGAAAAACAAAACTACATACGCGCCACATATATACACTCCACCACACATATACAGGACATGATGATTTCAACATTTACGGACGCCATCAGAAACTTAGCGACACAGATGCGCGTAAAGCCGCCGCGCAACTGCAGGAAATACTCAGCCTCCTGCCGAGTGGCAAAACGGAATTCACCGCATCGAAAACAATTGTACTGGACACACACAATCACGATGGTGGCGCACACACTGGCCCAGGTGGTGAGTTGAATACTGACAGCGTTGATTTGCATACCTATGGTCTGCCGAAAGATTTGGGTCCGCTTGAGTCGTTGTCCCACACTGAATCCATAACAGCAGCATATGCACAACGGCAGCAGAATCCCGCTGATATTTATCGCCAAATGGCGAAGAAGCAAACGGCGGAGGAGATTTACATACAGAAGCACCCCAATGAGGGTTACGACTATCGGCCCACAAGCCCTACACCAACTGGCGCTGATAGTGGCAGCCAACAGGGTGTAGGTTACAAGTACAACAATTATCATGCAACAAATAATGCACTAAAAGATTTAACACCCATCATAGCTGCCTTGGAAGTGGCCAAACGACGCGGTTCAACACAACAAAATGAAGTGACCAAACATTTTACCGTTGAAAAGAGTGTATACAAAGTGGCGCCACAAACGACATCGAAGTCAAACAATCAATTCAAATATTTACCACCCACCGTGCATAAGACCAAGCACATATATTTCGATCCGGCACAGAATAAAGCCGATACGGAATACCGTCCGCAATATGTATCGCCAGCACCACTACCACCATCGGCAGCAGCTTTAACGAAGGCTGCACCGCCACCGCCGCCACCACCAGCACAGTCACAGCTAGCTCAGGTAGCTACTCGTAATTATGGCGTTCAACAGGGTCCTACATATTCCTCAACGTATGCGTCACCTCAGTCGAGTCAGCATGTACCAGCGGCCTCATCGGCCGCGTACAAAGTTCGGCGCCAGGTGCCAAGCAGCTCTATTACCACTTTGAAAGTGCAGTCCAAGACGGCGCCATACTTCAAGCATCACGACTATGAAATACAGGATCCACTAATGTTCAATCGCATGTTGGCGTTCTGAGTGTGAAGGGGTTAAAAATTATTTTTATATGGATTATTTATTTGCACTTAATATTATTATTTAGTGTTTTAAGTGAATTAATTTTAATATAAAAATTAAAAATAATAATCCGTTTCTGCCGAGACGCTTCACTATTGCAAGAGGAGTACTATGCCTGAAGTAATGAACATTATGTAGCTTTCTGAAACTAAGAAATTTTTTACTGCATACTTTTAGGCTGCTTACTTGCGCAATGTGGGCCGTTGAATTTTGTGGAATTCAATGGAAGTAGTTTTGTATAAATATATTTACAATATATTTATATATCTATTTTTAATTTATAGTCACTCAAGTAGTCAGTCATTAGTTGTAAGCTCTCCAGAAAAAATTTACGAAATAAAAAAACGAATAAAAATTATTTATATTGTGCTGCATACGAAATTGAAAAAATAATATAATAAAATTTTCTGAAAAATTATTATTTATTTGCTAACTAAATGGTTCCTTTATTATTGATTTATTGATTTATTTATTTTAGTTTAATTAAAATATTTATTAATGTTAAATTTCCATCCACATTCACAATGGTTCCCCACGTGTAGTACCTTTTTCACACCTCCTTGCACTGGTTTCAGTTAATGTGTCACATACTGGCCACACAAAACCACTTAAGTAGATATTTCCAAGTATTATAAAATATTTATAAAACTAAGAACTTCAATTCACTATAATCCAAAATGTCATCTTCTTTACAGAGATATACTATCAGTAGTGGTCCGCTAGCCACGCACCTGCATAAAAAATATAGAAAGAAAAGTTTCTCAGCAAATTTGCTTGCTTCGTGGACCACACAAGCATATGTGGCACTTCGTATATACTTGGAGCTCTTCGTTAGTTTTTAAGTTGCTTAATACTCTACTTCCGGCGCTGTAAATGCTCTTCCTATTAATTTGGAGCTCACTCTTACATTTTGTACGTTTATTTCTTTCTTTATTATTTGTAAAGCTGGTTTGTTTTTCTATTCATACATACACACATACATATATGGGTTAAGTATTTATTATTTTAATATTGTGTTGCTCTTCGTTATAAAAAAAGAGCTCATATTTTACATAAGTGTCCGTAAATAAATACCAATAAACATGATAATTTGTATATAAAACCATAAATCTGCAGTTTAACTTTTTCACTTTGTTTGTAAGCCTAAAAGTAGGCAAGAGTTTTGTGGCGGAAGCTACAGTGCAGTACCATTTAAAGTGTTGAAAATGTTTGAGAGCTATAGTATCTAGTGCAATCCAAGGCGTAATCGGCATTTGCGGAATAACTAATTATTTTGCCATCTAACAAGCAAATGTGATTCTCCGTTGGATTTCAAGGCTGTTATTATTGTCAGCCCTTCAAAAGTGACGTTGGGGTCGAGACGTGGATGCGACAACCGTTTGTTTGATGACAGGAGATATTTCGTTTTGCCCTCGTTAACGACAAGACTTATATCCATAGATTCCAGTCTGGACAGAGCTCAGCGCACAGTTGTTGGAAGGGATAATGTCAATACCATCGACGTACGGCTCGGAGAGGTCCTTCACGAGCAGCACGGAACTGTTACTGTTGCTTAACGTCAGTTTACATAACCGTATAAGTTTTGTGGGGATACCAAATTCAGATATAGTTTCGTAGAGGCAGCTCCTTTTATATCGCAGGCTGATTTAAAATCCACGAAAAGGTGGTGTGTGTCGATACTCTTCTTATGTGCATTTTCCAAGATTTGGCGCATGGTGAATATCTGCTCAATGGCGGATTTAGCAGGTCTAAAGCCGCGCTGAAGAAGTATTAGTTGGGAGTTGTTTTGATGCGGCTGCTGGTCAAAATCCGAGCACACTTAGCCCAATAGGCCCATTGTGATACCGATGAGGTTCCTGCCTTCACCTTCTCAAATGATCGAACCATTTCATGTACCTTATAAAAGCAACGAGATTTCGAAAGTTCAATGAGGGCGAAGAAGCGTTTCCCAAGAAACTTGTGTCGCGCGGATATCAAGGCTGGCTAGTGACAGAGGTAGTGCTCGATGATGTCCTCCTCTTCCTCGTCCCTACAGCCGCAGCAGAAATCGTTAGAGTAAAAGCCCATGGTAATCCCATGAAGCTCCATTAAACAGTGTTCAGTTATTATACTCGTAACTATGCTAATGTTATGAGATGGATGGATGGATGAGATTTTTAGATTTTTCGCGTCCAACTTCACCCATAGCTATCTGGCCAAGTTGCACTTGATTTTGTTCAACCAACGTGAGTCAACTTTCTGGTGAAGGCCAGTTTAATCATGTACTTAGCCGTGGACAGAGGTAAACCAGCATCAGGTGCGTGTTTTATGGTAGATAGAAGGGTGCCTTCCCTTGCTAGTTCGTCTGCCATGCAATTGACTGGGATGTCCCTGTGTCCACGTACCCAGACCACGGCAGTACTGTACTTCGTTGAGAGTGTTTCTACTGAAAAAGTATTCCCTCCACAAATTCAGTATACTCTGGGCATCGGTTATTAGATCTCATTTGTTGGAAAAACATCCAAACGCACACCACAAATTGGATGAGAAGACCGGAAGAAAATCACTTCAACGGTTACGAAGTGCAAATTACAAATACATAATATAAGCATATTACTGTAAGAAAGGGCTAAATGGGAACCATGGATACTTGGTTAATTTCTGTCACTGATATTACTAAAGAAAAGGATGGAACACTCCCATTAATTAGATGTTGGAACTCAAAAACCTGTTTATAAATTTAAATGAATTAAGTAGTAAGCAGGTATGCACAGTGAAAGCCCATTGTATACTAAAATCCTTCCACACTTAAATAATCTCTGACCCACCCTATGGCTTAGATAAACTTATTTAACTCGAAGAGGTTTATATATGGAACTATCGTGTCGTAGTCAAGAAAATCGTGACCGTTAGTTGCAAATCTTTTCCTATAAAAAGCCTCAATTCAGCTTATAAAATGTTCCACAGTATCTTCTTCCTCTACTTTTTGGCAAGTTCGACAGTAAATGTTAAGTGGTAACCTCACTCTGGTGACGTGACGTGTCTATCAATAGTACAATGACCCGTCGATAATTCTATAAACACCGCTAGACCGTCATTCATTTTATTTTTAGTCTGTATGTGCACATATCAGAGATTATTTCCACCGGGACTGAGCTACATCTTCAACATGTTCAACAAATAAATAAATAAAATAAATCGAAATTAATTATACAGTAGGCGCTATTTTATCTGCTTCACAGTTATCTGTAATATCTCTGTTATCCGGCGCACACAGCAGGTGAAGTAATGTGTTAGCTTCGTCAAAATCTTTAATCAAATTCTAAGAGATCTTTAGTGATTTCAAAGTCGCTTGGCCATCTTTGTACATACGTAAATATATTTTTTATTGTGAGAACACTTTTTGGTAAAATCCGTGATCGCAGTGAACTCCGCCAAGAAAACTCTGCAGTGATCTAATACTCGAAAGGCAAAGACACCCATCTCCTACTCCATGAACTACATAATTTGGATATGGATACTACAATGCCGTAACTAAAGGAGGAGGTTGCAGCAACTGAGTGGTTAGCATTGCGTATTGCCATTCGCAAAGCCCTGGTCGTTGGTCTGAGGCATGGCCTCCAAGATCGTGCTGTTTACCACCGCTATACTATTATATGTAGCATTATGCGAAGTCGTTGGTCTATGTAAATAAGCGCGAAACGATTGACGCCTTGGAAGAGATTAGTCGGCACGAAGTTGCTGGCAAACGGCCTTGTTGCAAGCAGTAGTCGAAAATTGGGTCTCTTGGTGGGAATTTATTCGAGCCAGCCGCGGTTGTCTTGAGAAGCCTATGAGTTTCACGAGGCGTTGCTTTCGATCTGGGCACTGCAATCCTTTTACAGGTATAAAGGGCTACAACACCGCTTCCAATTCTAGCTTCCTGTACAAAGTTACCCCACCGTGAATGGTGGTGCAAAATCAGGAATTCTGTTTTAAATGGTGATCTGTTTCGTTAGCAAGTAAAGTTAAACCAAATGATTCGGTTCGGTATAATATATACTAACAGATCCAAAGAAGTTGCGATCCACGTCTCCCTTAGATATAATCCTTTGGACAGATCTGCACATTGTCGAAATTATGAAACTGCCCAGAGACATCAATTAATTTTCGAGAGATAAGGAGAGGCCAAGAACTTTGCACAACTTCTGTGTCTATTGCATACATTGCGGTATGGTTCTCTAAGCTAACCTCGTAGCGAGTATTCGTTAGTAGCCTTAAGAAGTCTACACTGGCTATTGTCCAGCTATAATCTGACGTTTGAAGATAGCAAATATTATGCCAGGACTTTGCTAGTAGCTTTCTTAAGCGAGAGTCTTGTGCCGTAGTTTCGACTTCGTTGCAGAAAGTTTGTTAAGAATTTCGTCTAGCTTTTTTTTTTATGTATTTTCTGTGTGACCTAAATGAGGGTTGTAAAATCTGCTCCAGTCTTTGTCTATTTAGGATAACTTTGTGATCTCAAATTGCCTCCGCATTATTTCTGTGACTTTCTTTTCTTATAACGGGTTAGAGGACAGCTCACTTCTAATAATAAATTTGGGATAAGCGATCTCGATCACTTCTAACTCTTGTCAACACTTTAGTAGTAAGGAATAGTGGTGGAGGGATGCATCCCAAAGTCAGTGATCCACTCATGATGAAATTAATGTGTGAAATTATAATTGTAGGAGTTTCGTCTTGTTTGTGTCATCAACTAAAGCACTAATGCAAGCAACATCTAAAAAATCATGGAAAAAATGTTGACCTCTCGCTGAAACGATTTTCGGCTGAGCTCCTCCCCTAACTTTGGGTATATGTCTGTTGTTTTTCCAACCTACCGAACCCATCATTTATACTAAGCCGCTTCCAAACAGCACATAGATTTTTATGAGGAGCTTTAATTTCATCTCAGATATACACGTACACTCATAGGGCTAGACATTCCCTGCCGAGGACGTTGGCAATTAGAGAAATTGATTTTCTATAATTATGGATATTGAATGGAATTTCGAATGACAGTACGCACTGCAGTCACTCTATTTCAGCTATACATTTAAGAGTATTAGATTTGAAATAAATTCTTGGAAATTCCAAACATCGCTAAAGAAAAATATGGTACTGAAAGAGAAGAAGGTGCTCATATTATATAATTAAATTGGTGTAGTAAGAAGAAATCCATTATTTTGGTATGAAATTGAAAGCTTTAATTACCATAGTTAGAATTATCCGATTAAGGTCAAATATGCGCCGTTTTGTTCGGGAATTTTTTGCCATTTTATAGGTAATCTCATTATGCCTCTCTCCTAGAAGCCCTCGTTCCTATTGGCGAAAAACTTGAGACAGTTGATTTTCACAAGTCTCTTTTGAAGCGAATTTGTGCCATGGACAGTAGCAGATGGTAATCAGTTGGAGCCAGCTACAGACTAAAAGGTGGATGCATAAGAACCACCTCAACAAGCTCCCGGAGCTTCTTGTGAGTCACAATCGATATGTGTGGCCTGGCGTTGTCCTGATGGAGCACAATTCTTCTTTTATTCGATAGAGCTGGCCACTTCTGGGCGATTGCTTCCTTTAGACGGTCCAATTGTTGGCAGCATAGTTTCGAGTTAAGAATTTTGCCATATGGGAGCAGCATAAAGTAGATAATTCCCCACCAATCGCACCAAACGCTCAGCACAATCTGGCCTGGCAACCGTTTCCGCCGGCTCATCGCGTTTCGACCACGACCGTTTTTGCTTGGTGTTGTCGTAAGTGATCCATTTTTCACAGCCAGTCACCAACCGCTTCAGGGTCGCTTTTGTTGCAATTCAGTAGCAATTAGCAGATGGGAATTCGGTCCGGGAGGTTTTTTAGTGTTAACTCGTGTGGCGCATATTCAATAAAGGCAGCGCTTTTGGAGCGCGAGAGTAATGGGAGACTATGGGTACGAACAAAAGTCTGCAATATAACAAGGATGCCACATCGTCTATGTGAGACTCTCTGAGAATCGACCAGCTCAAACTAAGCTAAATGCAAATATCTCGAGAACATGGGTTCAGGTTCTGAGCGATTTTCATATTCTGCAGGCTTATATTTTTAGATTTCGGACATCCCATACGACATACATACGGATGAAGGAAAAACTTTATTGCAAATCTAAGGTGTCAAATTTATAATATTCCATTTATTGAATTTATTTATTCCAAGTTATTTCGCATTTCCTCGAAAATGAAATTAAGAAAATTATAAATTATGGTATATTTTTCAAAGAAATCAGCAAATTTACAATTATTTAGAGTTTCTCCGATTTATGGGCTCATTAAACTACTACACATATACATTTAAACAACTAACCAGAAGAACCCAACACAGCTGCTGACTGCTACCCGCTTGCACTTAGTAGTAACCGAATGAAATATCGTGTAACGGTTGTGCATTGCCTTGAGGCAGAGCATAATCTCGCGCCAATTGATCCAGTAAACTGCCGCCGCCACCACCAGCACGGCCCTGTGCCTGTGGTTGATGATTTATTTGTGGTTGATAGCGAGGTAGAGGCGCTGGTGCAGCTTGTTGCACAGGGCGGGTTTGTGGTGCGGGTCCAAATTGCGCGGGGTCAAGTAAGGGACGGCCGCCAGATGGTGGACCTAAAAAGTTATTGGCACGTGCGCTGGAGGGTGCGGGTTGAACTGGTGCCGGAGCATAGACGGGACGTGAGACACGCACATTAGATGGACCTTCGCCAAAGTTCTGCACAAGAGAAAAATTTGTATTAATTCCAAATTAACTATAATAATTAAGGGTTGTAAAAATGGGCCTGTCCTAGCGCACCTGCGATTGTGAGTAATCCGGTTCGGGACGCGCTGGCCGTTGCAGTGGTGAGTACAAAACATCCGTGGTGCGTTGCGCTCCAGGCACTTGTATTCTTGGCGGCGCTGGTGCGGCAGATACTTGTGGTGGTGGCGCATACTGTATGCGACGTGGTGGCTCGGGCACTTGTTCCGGTTCTTCTTCATACTGCAAATATTGTGGTTGCGGTTGGGGTTGTGGCTGTGGACGCGGTGCTGGCGCCGGTCGGGCCTGTTGTGGACGAGGTGGACGCTGAAAATTCAAAATCAAATAGTTGTAAATATTATAAAATAATTTCTAAAAATACGCGCTCCCTTACATAAGGTCTCTGCGGTCTTATAGGTTCATCTTCATACTCTGGCTCCTCTTTGAGTGTTTCGTCGACCAGTGTAGGTGGCGCTACAGTGATGCCCTCACCAGACGGCTGGAAGCCATATTGATTAGCGCCATATTCCACCACACGCACCTTACCAGTCTCATCCACGTAGCCATATTTACCCTTCACTTCACCGGTCGCTAGCTTTGTTTCGATTTTGAAAGAACCATCGGCACCTTCATACCCGTAAGTGTAGGAACCATCTTCGTTATGTCTGCAAAAAATTACAGTAAATTTGAGGTAGCAGAGATAAGTTTCTACATGACATACTTATTTATTTGCTTGAGTATAGGCACTGGTGTCGGTCTGGGTGCCTCCGCTATACCAGCGCTGGGGCGCAGTCTTATTGGTGCAGGTCGCGGTGTGTTTTCTTGGTAGTCTTGATAATCCTGTGCCAAGGCGAAGCCATATAGCAACGTTAAAACTAGGAAGAAGTGTAACTGAAAAGTAAAAAGTTCAATTTTTATCAAAACCGAATGCGGAAGTTGATAGCCTGGGATTATAGATCTAGTAAACTAACTAATTGAATAAAACCAAGGATGCTTAGATGAAGGTATTAAGTAAAAGAAACGCTTGCCAGTGGCTTACGATGAGTGCACTCTGAGTTTTTAAAGAATGTTGCAAAGGTAGGTGAAGTGAAGGAAGTAAAGGCGAGGCTAAGTCTGGACGTCATAGCACATCAATAATTGACAAAAATATTCAGAAAGAACAACAAATTTATGATTATGAAGAATTGCCATTGTGGTCGAGAGTAGTTACTGATGGTGTTGGTACATTCGTTCGAAAAACATCAAGACGCCCACAAATTGGAGAAGGAGCTCGGCCGAAAAATCGCTTCAGCGGTTACAAAGCGCCAATTATATATTTATGAGTTTGCAGAGTGGACAGTTACGAAGCACTACCATTCTTTCTAAGCCAGGATGTTACACTGATCGAGTCCATTGGTTAGTATGCAGCTAAGAGAGTCATAAACCGGTTGTGGTATAACTCAGTCACCAGAAGGTTCCGTGATTTTCGCTAATCATGCTCGAGAAGATAACTACCCCACCAATAGTCAAAGAGCTTCGGGAAGTAGGAAGACAGATAGTACTACTCTCGTTGAGTTGCTTTGGATCAAAAGCTGCAGGCAATTATTAGAAAATACAACGGCATCTTCGAAGCTTCCTTCTTCACCACTACCTCGTGCATAGCTATCATACTCAAAAGAAAGACTGTTAATCAAGATATAGTAATTTGCAGTGTTCGCCAGGCTCCACTGAAGCTGATATCATCAGGTACAATTAAATCTGAAGTGGGCGAACGAAAAAGAGTGTTCCAGGACATGGGGGTATTGAAGGCAATGAATCAGCAGATAACTTGCGAGAGAAGGGGCCTCAATGAAAAAATGAGAATAATACAGAGATATTGGTTTACCAATGTGGGGATAAGGCGATCGCATCATGCCTATGAACGGGTACAATACGGAATGAATTAGAGAAATAACATTACTTAGTAAGAGTAGTTTGGAACCAGTATTAGCGCCATCAACAATGCCAGCCTGCAAATCAAGCGCAAAATCACTCTTGCTAATAGGTGCTACTTTGGACTGAGTAGGCAACTGGAAAGTAAAAGTCTTCTCTCGACGGAAGAAGACCAAGCTCAACAAGTCGCTCATCATTACCGCCCTAATACATGGTGCGGAAGCAAGGACGATGACAACATCTGATGAGTCGACGTTAGGAGTTTTCGAAAGAAAGGTTTTGCATAAGATCTAAGGTCCACTACGAGTTAAGTACGGTGCATACCGCAGCCGATGGAACGATGAGTTGTACGAGATGGACGGCATTAACATTGTACGACGAATCAAGAAACAGCGGCTGCGCTGGCTAGGTCATGTGGTCCCGATGGAAAAGAATACTCCAGCTTAGAAAGTTTTCGATACCGTACATACTCGTCGGTGGAAGCAGAGGAAGGTAAAGACCTAGACTCCGTGGGAAGGCCAGCTAGAGAAGGACATAGCTGAACGGCTGATGAATTTTTATGAGGAAATTTCATTCCATGTCAGAAATACACTCGGAGGGGTTGACATTCCCAGCGGCATGTAATTTAAGAGTACTAATAGGATTTCTGGTGAAAGTAGTACTAAGGGTGCGACTCACCATAAGTGGGCTAAAGGTGAAAAAATATTTGCTAATATCGTTTTATTTTTTTTAATAAACATTTTATCATGTAGAGAAAAAACTTGGGATATTGCGTGATAAAGTACTACTGCTGAAACAAAGCAAAAAAAAAAAAATATTTTATAATTTAAGAGACAAATTTAGAAATTCAGATCTTTTAATGTTTTTGCCTAAAAGTTTTTCAAGTTTTTAATTATTTAATTCCAAGCTAACCACGTAAGCGAATACAAACGCTTTGAAATAGCTGTTCACTGTAATAAGCCTGTATAAACGCGACCATCCGCGACCGTCCCCGACAGGTTCACATTCCGGGCAGACCGGACTGTTGTGCTTACGGTCACCAATTTTTTGGATATTAGATTTATAATTCTGTAGAAAAATATTTATATATAATATTTTAATTATATACATATATGTACAGGGTCCGCCATCTAACATTTTTTTTGAACTAGTGGTTATTTTGAGTGTGGTAACACTGATGTTACACCTGATTTGACAGAAAGTTAGTTTTATCCTTCCGCTGAACGAAAATGGTTGTGTATACGATTGAGGAACGCGTTAAAATAGTGCAGTTTTACTTTGAAAATGTGTGCGAAAATTACTCACGGAAATGAGCCGTAACAAAGCACCGTCCACTCCGTATGTGCGCTTTCTTTTGGAAAAATTGAGAGAAACCGGCACAATTATTGATAAACCAACGCGTGAGAAACCAAAAAAAGTGCGTACTGCCGGTAATATCGCTGCTACGGCCGAGAGTGTGCGTGAGGCGCCCGGAACATCAGTGAAGCGTCACTCTCAACAATTGGACATTTCCGAGACGTCCCTTAGGCGAATTTTGAAAAAAGACCTTGGTATGACACCGTACAAAGTTCAATTGGTTCAAGAATTGAGGCCACGAAACCATCCGATGCGGTTTGCTTTTGCCGAATGGGCATTTGTTTTATTGCATATAAAAAAAAAAGTTACGTGGCGGATCCTGAATATATATATTTAAATTTAATTTTTTTTTTCTCCTTTTTTATACTAAAAATCCACCATCAGATCTACACAGTGGTTCTTAACAAATATAATTATATTTACTCGTTATTTTATAGGTTTCAAATAATCAACAAGAAGTTTTGGCTCAAAAACACATATCGACTTACCTCCAACATTCGATTCTAAATATTTATGTATAAGCCATTTTGGTATTTAATTGAAAATACGTAAAATACTCAATTCATTAACAGCACTCGTGCATTGGACAGTCATAAATCATTTTTGTATTGCTGTCATGAGCATTTGTATAATCTGAGTAGAAAACCAAAACATGTTAAGGGCATTAAGTCATCCAAACTGCTAACTATCTGCCTCATTAAAGTCACTAAAGACATTTGATAAATGCCAAGAAACCACGACGGCGACTAGGAAGCCTTCCAGCTACAAGAAGTGAATGAGTAAGTCACACACGCATGCTTATTAATTACGAACAATTGAAACAGATATGTAACTTAGTCATTAGTTCAAAACATGTTTATCGGAAATAATATACTATGTATGTATGTACATATAATTATTAAAGTAATATAATAACCGTTATCATTAATCCAGTATTAAATATGCTATTTATGAAAAATAAAATAAAATGAATGAAGTAATAACGCGCATTTATTTGAATCATGAGGTACCGAAGTAAGCAAATTTTATGCGAAAATAATTTATAAATCATACATTTATTACATACATACGTACATACATACATATATACACGAGTGCTTGTAGTCCGACATATGAGTAGCCAATTGATATACAATATGCCCACATTGAACACTACACATAAATATAAATACATATTTTCTTACTACTATTAAAGCTGCCGGAAGTGTTTCGAATGGTAGCAACTAATTAATAATAAACAGCGCAGTTCATTGTATTATTATAATGAAGAAAAGGCGTAACACAATGTGTACATGGAATTTACCTCTGAGTGGCCGCCTATTGAGGAAGGTTTGCTATCTGCCGTGAGAATTATGGGAATTCAACTATTGTTTGCATATTGATAGAGACCAAGGAATTTTGGTCATCTCTAAATTAAAACATTTAATTAAATTCATAAATAAAATACATTTTCTACTGTTGCTATTTATAATGCATAAGAACGAAATGGAAAATAATAATAACCAAGAAAAAAATAAATTATTTATAAAAGAATTTTTATGTATTTTGCATTTTGTTGTGCAAAAATGTCTGTAGAAAATACCTTCGTCGACCAATTGAGTATATTTTTTCCACGTTGCATCGACCTTATTATGCTAATCGATCTTACTACTGCTAATAGAGCTACCAAGAGTTGCACAAGCATTGCTCTCTGAACTCTTTAATGTCAATCTAAAACTAAAGCAAGTAAACATCACACACAGGCGGCTCCTTACAGACCAATAAGCCTACTACCCAGTCTTTCCAAATTATTTGAAAAAATTATGCTTTCAAAAATATCTCCTTTTTCTCCAGCGTAAGAATGTGGTGCCAGATCACCAATTCGGCTTTCGTGAAAAGAATAGTACTATTGAACAAGTTAACCGAATAACTAATGAAATCAGAAAGGCATTCGAGCTCAATGAGCATTGCTGTGCAATCTCTCTTGACGTAGCACAAACGTTCGACAAAGTCTAGCATAAAGGTTTACTGTACAAAATACATAAAGCTCTGCCTGTTCAATTTTATATGATACTTAAGTCATATCTGACTAACAGACAATTTACCATTAAATAATCTGAATTTATCAGTGAGGAGTATACGGTGAAAGCTAGTGTTCCGCAGGGTAGCATCCTTGGGCCTATAGACATACCATTAAACCGAAAAAGGCAGAAATCTACCTTTGCGGATGGCACAGCTGTTTTATGCCGGTATAAATGCCCTAAAAGAGCAGCAAAAACGATTAATGATCACTTACTCCTCATCGAAGAGTGGCTAAAAAACTGGAGAATTAAAGTTAATGCACAAAAGTGTAAACACATTATATTTATTATACTTTAAGACCGCAATCATGTCCTGCAATTCGCTTAAATGGTATAAACATTTCCCAAGTAAATGATGTTACATATAATATCTCGGTATACACTTAAACCCATTGAGAAATTCCCGCCTGCAGCGAAGAGATGTTCCCGCCTTCTAAGGAGAGCGCCGTAGTTTGAAATGGGCTCAGATTAAGCATATATTAAAGCAGATCCAGTAAAAAAATAAATTGTATAATAAATAAACGGCCGCACGGATTATTATGAGAAGCCTTTTTAGTTCATGTT